GTGGGTTACACTCTGCAGTCACCTGTTAGCTGACACAACCTTTTATCCATTTTAGACAAAGTGCTGTGCTGCAGTCTTCACAACGATCATGGAACAGCTGAATCGGGCCAAGGAGAAGTGTCTTGATTCAAACGATCGAATCAACAACACCATGGATGCTTTGAAGCACTACTCTAACCAATGTCCACAACCAGTAAGGATATTTTATTTTCTCAGATTTAAAAAGGTGTGACTGAAAATGTGTCCTTAACGTTCCCTTGCCTTTTAGGTGCAGAAAAATGCCTCAGACTGCAACTGGAACCAAAAACCACTTAAAGAATTTGTGGAAAAAATTAAAAGTTTTACTCAATTTATTAACAGTTATTTAACCAACTCAAGTCAATGAAAAAGTACATACCTATTTTCATCTCCTCAACTACTGTAAACCAGTTTACTTTAATTATTAGCAGTGCCTACACTAAACTCTAGTTTTATTTATTCAGTTATTTATTATAATTTATTTATTTGCCTATTTATATAACAGCAAAGGAATGTAATTCTACAATGGCCATGTTTATGTCATTCATGTAACATGAAATAAACTGTTTACTAATGCATCTGTTCAAATGAATTTTTTATTTTTTTAAACTTTAAATTTCAAATTCAAGTTTCCCTATTTCCATGTACTGATTACTGGTAGATAGAGACATGCACATCCAACAAAAATTGCAACTGTGTGCTGGGTCCAAAGACAAAAAAAAAAAAAAAAAAAAAAAAAAAAAGAAAAAGAAAAGAGATCCACACTGCAGTTCTTTGAAGCTCCCAAATTTTTTATTTCAGTGACACCACAATGTGACTTTTCGGGCCAAGCCCTTTTTCAGACATGTCTGAATTCATATTCATGTACTGATTAAACATTTCATCACATTTCTGCCTTCTAGCACATTCACACAGCTAACTGTGGGGTCTATATCCCCAAAGGACTTTTATTTTGTATTATACTGCTCCCTCTTCTGACCAAATGAAGCAAGTGTTGACAATAGGAAAACTTTTAATTATTATAAAAATAAAAAATAATAGATATAATAATAATAATACAAATAAATAATAATAAAATGTAATCAATTCATAATTATAGATGGATTAAAATGCTCCAAGCTGATCAGTTTTTTAAACAACTGGATCTCATTTCAATCTCAAAAAATACAAATAATCAATTAAATCACTCAATATTACTACACCACTACTATAGAATAATAAATAAATAAATAAATAAACAACTGACTTTTTTTGTTGTTGCAATATTCTAGTTAATAAACAACTAAATCTTTCCATATGAATACATTATTATAATCTACAACAACATAAATACAATCAGGCACCTGAATCAAGTCAATCTGTAAATCAAAATCAAGCAATAAACTTTATCAAATAGTCACTGAACATGGCCAGTCCAGGCTGAATATGTGATGTCTGTTGCCCTACTAACACAAACACAAACCGCACAGTAATACTATGGCAAAAACCCCTAGAGTGATCTAAGAGGAAAAATGATGGTGTGTACTAAAGGTATTTATAACCAACACAGCCCACCCTTTCCTCCTGGAGTCTATATATTCAATAGTGCAATAAATGGGTGTCAGAACCTACAGCATCACCTACTTGGAACAAAATTCGCAGCTCAAGATGAAGTTGTCAGTGTGGATTACCTTTTGGGTTTTTGGTCTTTTTAATGGACTTCTGGCAAACCCCATAAACTACCCCGAACTGGATGAATTAATGAGTGCAATAAAATATGATGAATTGGAAAAAAATATTAAATGCGTAAGTAATTTTATTTTAATTGCAATATAAAACTTAATAACTCTATTCTTGTCTGTTTCTAATGCTTCATTGTGTTATATCAACAGCCAAATGACACAGTATTTTACACTCCAAGAAACGTGAAGGTAAGAGTCAAACTAGTTAATATTAAAAGAATTAGACAAATAGAATAGACACATTTTGGGTACTTCCCCTGCGCCAAAGCTAAATATTGAATACTAACTGCACTCAACCACAAGCAAAAGTACAGGAAATGCACAGTACACACTACTAAACTTGTTCTGCGCTTTCAGTTAGCCAGACAGCCCAGCTCAAAAAGTCCTTCAACCAACTTTGTATAATTTTTGTCTTCTAGACTGAGTGCATAACTGCTGCACTGAATTGCTCCTTTTTGGAATTTAGCGAAATCGTCGCAAATGAATGTGATGATCCATCAGAAAATATGCAGAGCACTCTTGAAACATTTGAATTGATAATCAAAGGATTGAAAGTTGTCAATGTAAGTATTTGATTATTTTTTGTGTAACACAGCAAAAACAGAATAAATTGCAACTTTGTTTTCCATTACAGGTTGAAAAGGGTAAAAATGATTGTGCTTGTGAGCAATGGCCAGAAACTTGTTTTAAGACGTTTCTTCTGAATCTTAAGCAGTTGCTAGAGCTGTTGAATACGTTACAATACAGACCATCTTGACAAGACTCTAAAGGACTTCACAGAATTGGCTACAGTCAATGTAAATCCTCTAGTCTATAGAGCACCTTGTGAATTAAACTACATTTTGTAAGGATTTTCAAGGCATGCGTTTCATAACAAAGGATGTCGCACAACAAAGCAACCTGTGGATCTTCACAGATATTTAAGTGTTTCCACACTGCCACACTGGACACTCTAAAAGATGACTATCTAATTTATGGATTACAGGAAGATTTTCCTGTTTTGTTGAATGTATTTGTAACTTTAAGCTATTATTGTATTTATATATTTATTTAATTTATTGTTATTAAATTGTATATTGTAATTTAAATTAATAAATATAATAAATTAAATTATGTAAAAATAATTATGTAATGGATTGCAGGGTTTCATATGACATCACAGTCCATTAGTTTTAATGTTTGATGGAGCAAGTAGAAAAAAAAAAGTCAATGCAAAATTTTTGCGTGGTATTGTGAGATCATGGACCTTAAACCCAAACAGAAATGACCTTCATCATAAAAGTTTCCCTCATTAGAGTGACGACATGTCATTTTAGAGTCTGAACATAGTCCACTCAGGTAGCTGGAAATTTTTTTCCCCTGTAGAGAGAGTTTAATTCTGTACAAAAAGTGGTTTCATTCTGACCTATTTTTCATAGAATTTACTGATTTCTAAAGTTTTAACATATTTTAGAGTAAACATTGCTGTTGCATTTGAAGTCTGTAAAAACCTTGCTTTTTGGACAAATATTTTCAAGTAGAGTAAGTTCAAAGTGTTGGCCCAAATGCTACTCTTGAATGTTACCTTTTAGAATCTCTATAGCCAAGTTTACCGTAGATATATTAATTTATAAAGTTTGTAAACTGCACTAAATGACAAAACACAGGAACAAAAACAACATTCAGTTTAATCTGCAGTTTCATTTTGGTCTAGTGAGGCCCTGTCTACTGCACTGAAATAATCCACATTGCTGCTTCTTCTCAAAAAGCTTGACAATGACCTCAAAAGAACTGCCACTTACAAATAGGGAGTCAAATCACTGAATGCATGTTTAACAATTTAATATTAAACAAACAATGCAAGAAACTACATGCAGTCTAAAGAAAAGAATAACTCAAAGGGTTCTACATACAGCAAAAAGTGTCCATCCTGAAATACACTTAGAACTCCTTTCAGACAAACCAGCAGCAGGTAAACAGGTCCATTCACAGACAAATGAAGGCAAAACAGTACACACATCTACTATCAGGCAAACACAGGAAACCACCTTCTTTCCTGTCTGCACGTACGTGAAACTCAAAGATCACACATATCAAAGTCCTACCACATATACTGGGTACTGTCAATAGTCCATCCATCACGTTTCATTAAGATTTTGTCAAATTGCTGGTTTAGTTACCAACAATTCAGAGGGATCGTACGATTTAATGATGAAGTCTAGGATTTGTTCATCAATACTGACCTTCCCTTAAATATTAATGTGCACTAAATCTAAAGTACTACAAGATAAATAACAGAAATTAGTCTGAAAAATAATAGGTACACTTTATAACTTTTCTAGTGCAAAGTACGTACAGCATTTGCTAATCTCTGTTTTTGCTTTGACCGGAATGCTCCACAGAATAGTGTCAACCTTTTCAATCTCCATGGAGACAAGCAGGTGACCAGGCCAAGTTACAGATCAGCTCTGTGAAATTGCAAGGTATTTTTAGCAACAAAAACACTTTTAATCGAAGAGAGGTTAGACTAGTTAAAAGGTCCTATATTATGAAAAAAATGACTCTTGTGAGCTTTAAAGTGCGTACGGCACGTTTTTATGATTCTCTAATTCTGACTCAGTTTGGTGGGATAATACCTGTTGAAAAAATATAAATTAAAGTTTTAAATCAACCAAGAAGCAATTTTCACAGTTTTCACACAACGAACATCTTTTTCCCCATATTTAAGTTATTATTTAAACAAGATAGTTATTGTAATTTTATTTGTTCAATAATAATTTCTGTGTTCATTAGAGAAGTTTTGGCCAAGTCTATTATATGGTTGTTAGGAAAGTTATAGAATTCCCTAGCATGATGTCATAATTCCCAACCAGGAAGAACCTAAAATAAAATTCTAAATGTAATAATCTTAATTGTGTTTTAGTGAAATTAGTAGTTCAACCTCTCATAGGCACTTTTAGATGAGGTAACATTATAACAGCTTAAACACATGAACTCGTGTCTTGTTTCACAAATGTTTGAGTAACTCTTTATCATTTGTCTGTCTGCAGCTCAAAACACTCTGTTCCACCTTGTGATGTCATGATGCAGTAGTAGTTTTTAAATTAAGATCTACCTTTTACCTTTACATCAGCAGATTGATTCTAGAGAAGTTTAAAACACTTCCTGTATTGCCACATGGCATCACAAGATGGAACAGTGTTTTCTGTTTGAAAGAAGAGCCTAAATATGCAGGTTTTGTGTGTGTAAGCGTGTATAAAAGGCACAAAATACAACTCCAAGTATGTTTTTTAAGAGGAAACGTCTTTATAACACAAATGTAACGTAATACAGGCCCTTTAATGACACTGTTGAACATTCAAGTCAAACAGCAAAGCAATAACAGCTCTATGGAGACAAGCAAGTTCCCTACCAGAAACATTACATCATACACTTTTAATTGAAATATGAACAGATACAAATTAAGCTTGAAAAATAATGCTTTTCTCCCATGCTCCTAACCCTGCACAGAAAATCAACAGCTATAAACTTTGTAATTTTTAAGAAATTTTGTTCACATGCTAAAGTTCTCTCTAACTGGGCATTTAGTCAGCCAAGAGCCAAGTCCTTGCTGTAACAAATACTCCCTCAGTATAGCCTTTGCCTCCTGGTATGGTTTTGCCATCCTCTGAATGAGTAAATAAGCATTAGGACAGCTGGTCACAACAATCACAGAGTAACAAAGACCCAAACAAGAGAAGTTACCTTGGCTTCTCTATAGGAGCGTGTGGACAGCAGGTTTTGCCTCTGTGCTTCCTTGGCAACCAACCTGAAGCGGTGAAACATTGCGGCTTTGCACAGGCGGCTTGCCAATGCTGGGCCACTTTTGAATGGAGATCTAAAAAAAGATACATACACCACAATTCATGCAAAATGTTCACTAGCGTACTAAGACTGAAACAACGCCTTTCAAAATGAACCTTACTCTTCAATCGTCTTTCCCTCAATGCCATCTACGACCTCCAGTAGGCTGTCTCCTGCACTCCAGTTAACACAATTTTTCAAATGACACCCATCAATCCCACTAGTGGCTACAGGCGGAACAAGAGTGATACAGGGCCTCTCCATACAGTAGTAAACTGGCAGACGAGAAGTGATTCCCTCAACTCGTTGGCTCACTGAGAACTCCAAGCCTCGAATTTCTTTGCAGGCAGAATCTCCTGTAAAAATAGCCACAAGTATTTTTTTAATCCAGTATAACAGGCTTCTAGGTCTCATATAAACAATGTATGGTTTCCATTAGGGGTGCAACGGTACATGTATTTGTGCCAAACCGCTTTGGTACGGGACATTCAGTTTGGTGCGTGGATATGCACGATTGAGTTCGCACAATTTGTGTGTGCTTACGTTCTGCCACTACATGTGCAGCTACACAGAAGGCGTGGCTCTTTAATATTCACGAGAGAACTCTTCCGTGATTGGGGTGGAAGTGTTTCCCGCAGCGCTTTATAGTTATGGCAGCCGTCTTGACAACAACTGCCCCCTGCCTGGACTACATCCCTCCTTACTGTTTACAAGGAATTTATTTATTTTTTAATAATATTTCATACATTTGTTGTTTATTTGAGAATATTTTATTTAATTTATTAGTATTGCCAAGCAGCACTTTGCATTTAATTTATTTTCCTGTTTGTATAATGTTAAAACTAATTGTTGGTTTAATAAAAACACAAATAAACAAGCAAGTTGGTTTTGCATTTTGTTCCCATACTGTACCAAAAATGAACCGAACCATGACCCCAAAACCAAGGTACATATCAAACCTGATTTTTGTGTACAGTTACACCCCTAGTTTCCATGTACCGGTAAACTGTAACGTAATGAAAATTGCAGATTTATAGGATACATTCTGTGATTAAGAATAAGATGTGATGTCTCCTCAGAGGAGATACTTGGCAGATTGAGTGATTATAAATATCCACATCTAAAAGTACACACATTACATTATGAACCAAATGGGGCAGCAGACCTATTATGCAAAATTTACTTTTCAGAGCTTTTAATCATGTTATAGCTGTTTCAAATTCTCATTTACCCTCTTGAAGTTGTATTTGGAGTGATTTGTGCATGTTTGCGTAATCTTTAATCACTTACTTTCAAGACGCCAGATTGCAGATCATGCTCCATGTTCACTGCCACTGACATACGCCCACTGCTCTTGTACTAACTTTGTTCTACAATTTAATTTCCTCAGTCAGTGATATGCATAGCATTAAAAAGCATTGCTTTAAATGAAAAAATCAGCTGCTCGTTAGTGTGATGTGAAAATATCCACAGGAGCTGACGGTGTTACAGATCTGTTGAACCCAGCTTTAATAATGTATTTGTGTTTCTTCTGAGTATTATTTTATTAAATCAACCCAGTGGTATCTATGAGGCAAAGCGGGTGTGTTAGCACAATACTCTCACTGCTGTGCTTTAGTGTGGATGAGTCCGTAAAACCACATCTCCACTTTAGACAGGGCAGAAGTGAAGCCACATAAGACCGTTTACATTTTATTTAGACAGCGCCCCTAAGGCCCTGGGACAGGTGTCTGTGCAGATGTGTCTGTCTGCAGACGGCGGGGCTTTTGAACCAATGGCCCCAACAGATCCATAACGCCAACTCTGTGTTGTGATGATGTTTACGGTGACGTGTTCGTTTGATGATGTTTGGGCAATAGTTTTCTAACGCAATAGTCTGCTATTTCTTTAAATAGGTTGTTTTAGATTTATGTTGCAATTTAAAATGTGTACATTATAACATTGTGATCCATGGGTGTTGTGCGTTGCAACTATATAGCAGACTCAAGCACAATATGTGATCTTTAATGCGATAATGCTGTTGTGATAGCCATGCTGCAAAGGCATGCTGTAAACATTATTTCAGTGCCCTTTTCTCATTGTGACAGTTTTCAAATAGCGGCTCTGACCACTAACAGTGCACAGTGGCTTAAAACTTACTACCACTCCAACAAAGCAATTCTGCTACCACGATACCAATACAATAGGAGGGTTTCAGTCACGTGATCACGATGATAAGCGAATTTCAGGTGGAGGGCAGGAAGTAAAGACAAACACGACAAACACGGCTCTGGAGAAAACAGATATGGAGAAGAGTTCTTATTGTAAGGATTTAGAGCCAGTAGCAAGGCAAAAGTACGAGCAGTTAGTCGACAAATATATTGGGCGTGACCCCATCTTATTGAAAATGAGAGAATTTTCAACCGACGTAAAAGATTTGCCGACAATCGAGGCAGAGGATATCACAAACTATTTAGCTCTTCAGACATCGTTCTACACCAGACAACAGATGAAGGCGTACAAAAGTTTGGAGGATGGGTCCTCAACCTTGGTACAAAACGCCTAAATGATGATTATCGTTTGGTCTTCGCCGGGGTGAGTGTTTCTCTTATTTTATGTGTATAGACTGTTACGGGAAAAACTGCAGTGTATCGGCAGTAACCTCTATCTGAAGTATTTAATGTCAACAAACGTCGTTAGCAGTTAGTCGTTAATGATTTGTTTATGTTTAGGTAAACCACAAAAAAACAATTTAGCTTTGTAACAAACCTTTGACGAAGTGGTCACTGCAGACACGAGCATTAGTGAATTCTGCTCCTCCCGACCGCAAACAGGTTTGTAATCCACTTTTTACGGCTTTGTTCTGTCAGCTTTTCCCATTTCTGACCTTTGTGGACGACTATATATACTCGAAAAAAATAGCTTTTCCTTCTCTCGGTTAGAACAATTGGCACAGCCGTAAACTACACAACACATCGGCATTTTCCTCCAGTCACTTCACTTCCTGCCCTCCATCTGATTTTGCATGCTGACAAACGAAGCCCTGTGACGTCACGTGAAACCCAGCTATTACCTGTCTATGAGCAAGTTTGAACTTTTGAAAGATGTTCAATAAATCACTACTTCATGCTTTAATTGACACAGGTAACTTGCCTATAAGGATGTTTTGGACATAGACAGGTTCAATGAAGTGACTCAGCAGGGCGCCCTGGTAGCCTAGAACTTGCCATTGGGTGATTTTGTCTGTAGCTGACATGCTCACCATCTCAAAAGTCGATTGCTCAAAGGCAAATGAGAAGACAGAAAACACCTACAAAAAATGGTTTGAGTAAACACATATAATATGACATAAGATAAAATAAATTATATTCCACACCTTGCCCTGCATTGACAGATGCAAACTCATTTCAAAATTATCTTGCCCTGTGGTGATGGAATGAGGATTCAGGTGCCTAAAAGAAATTAATTACTCATTAGAGAATAAACTAAACTGTCCAAGTGTATAGACTACAAACTCACAGATTAGAGGGAATCTGTGCTACTCCTTTGGGCAGTTGGTTCATATAAAGATGGAGGGTGATGCCGTTCTTCAGAGACAGAAGACCACTGCTGCTGTTCATCTGGAAGATGGACTTCTCTGTCAAGCTGGCCGTTTTACTGAAGAAGATAAGCAGGTGCCGGTACAAATACCTGAAAAAAAAAAAGTCATTAAATACTGTATATAAGTATTCCATTGACTATACTTCCTCTAATGTACATTCTAAGTTTGAATAAAAGTGGTTAAACTGTTAACCTCAGGACTTGACTAACCTCATAAGTGACCTTCTTGCTGTCACTACTGCATGTGAATCATGCACAACCCTCCCATTTGAAAGAGTGTTGTCTCTTGTGTTGTAATTTCCAGTGCCGAGTGCAACCACTTCACATCCATTGGCTATAAATAGAAACATATTAAATCTGCATCACATGCTGCTGAAGTTGTTGTTGCAGTACATACACAAAACAGACAAAAAACACAAAACTTTGTTTGAATCCTGTTACCAGTCTGTATGACAAATGCAGCAGTGGTTCCGGCACAGTTAGAGAACTCCGGATGGTTGCTCATAAGTTTAGTCAGCTGATCTTTAACAGCTTGAGGAATCGGCAGATTTTCAGAACGGAAAAACCCTGTCAAACAAAAAACATTACAAACATTGGAAAACTGCATGGAAAACTTTGAAACAAAAGTGATGTGACATGACAAAATATATATTTATGTTACCACGATTAGCACTACAAGAAACTTGTGAGATAGTAGACACCTCCTTCACTGGCATTGGTGGAGGAACATCTGCAAAAAAAATGCCAATGCTGCAGTCATTAAAGCTACTTGCTTACCTATAGGACAATTAGTACAGTGTAATCATTTGGCATAAACATGTTTTTAAAGTGTCAACCTGATTTCTCTGGAAGGGCTGAGGTATAATTTCCTAAAGTGGGAATCAGACCTTCCAAAGCCAACTCTGCTGCATTTCTCCTAGCTTCCTTCTTTGTAGATCCAACACCAGGTTTGTACTCAACACCATCAATAAGCACACAGAATGTAAAGACAAAGTATTGTATGTTTTCTACAAATATAGGGAAATGTGTATCAGCAAAGAAAAAGAACACAACAGAGGTTTATATGAAGCAAATATTCACGTTCACTTCCAGTCTCTTTCATTTCCAACTGGAACTGTAAAATCTCTGAAAGTTGATGGAGTAAAGTCACAGGATGCATTTCTCCTTGCATATACCGGTCTATGAGGATTTGAGGGCTGCATTTGCACTTGGTATGGAACTCTATAACACGTTACATGTCAAAAGAGCAACAGCTTATAATGTGTTAGTAGTATAAAGTAAGTAAAATTCAAACATTTAGTGACAGCAGCCACGACACCTACTTGGTCTGTATCTTTTGGGTTGTTCTTCATGTTCACATTTGTTGTAAGTGTTTAAGGGTGGAAGAGCTCCTTTAGATTCTGTATAGTTGGAGAGGGACATATCCTTCATAAAGGCTTGAGCATAGCCACCTCTGCCCATCTGCCCACTTCCAGGAAACATCCCGATGGATATTGCAAAGTGCTGGAAATAAAGCAAAGAAATGCCTGTTAACAGACCTTATACTTTATTTAGGGTGACCAGAATTTCAGAATAAAACACTGGGACATCCGCGTTTTTTGGCGGTTGGTAATAATAAAATTGTGAAACGAGAATTGATCAAAAATTGTTCTGCACTCGGCCCATTAATGACTAACATGTGAGTCAATATAGTCACATTTTCTTTGTGTTTTTGTCATTTTTAAGAAGCTTTTCTGCATTTTACCTAAACAAATGACAATGTATGCCTCTCTTTACTGGTCTGGTCACGCTGGCATAACAATCAACGATGATTCAGAGAACATGTTAGCTAGCTTAGTTAGCCACGTTCACAAACAAACCCGTAAAGCTGCATTCATGTCAAAGGCCTGAATGCTGCAACTCAGAATAAAGTCGAAACCATTAAAATGTTACGTTAGCTAGCCGTGTTTCAGTTGTTTCAGTCAATCTTACCTACGGTGACTTAGACTTCCCTATTCACAGTCCCAGTTTTGAGCCCTGTGTGTTTTTTTTTTTTTTACAAGAAATGTCACAGGTGCTCCCATTTTTTGACCAATCTGATACCTACCAATAGTAAAGAGATTCATAAACTGTCATTAGTTTAGGTAAAATACAGAAAAGCTGCTTAAAAATGATAAAAACACAAAGAAAATGTGACTATACTGACTCAAACTAGTGCCGAGTGCAGAACAATTGTCCTTAATTACGCACTTGTAATTTCACAGTTTTATTATTACCAACCAACCCAAACCAGAGATGTCCCAGTTTTTAATTTTGAAAACCTGGTCACCCTAATTTTTTTTAAAACCAGATTATTAGTTTATTAGAATACGTCAAATATAGTGAAGCTAACGTAACTTCTTTATAAGCGTAAACGTGTTTATTCGGCTAACAGGTTCAGCTAATTTTAACCAGTTTAAAGTCAAAAAATGATCAAATACTTACAATGTATGATGTAATTATAACTTTCAAGTTTGTAGCGAATGAGATTTAGCTTACTGGTAATTAAAACAGTGAATAGCTTGTTTTGCTAAAACGGCTTAAAACTTAAAAAATAAACTTAGCATGACAACAAACACTTAATCTCAGTTTGTTATCTCGACGTACCTTAAACCTACTAATATACTGAGACAATAACAGTAATTGTACCTCCCTTTCTTAAATACTTAAAAGTTCTTGCTCTTTTCTCCCCACAGCAGAGGCAGAGCGCGAACTCCATGAACCACCGCACTCACACGTGATCCGTGATCGATCCGCCTGCTCCAACACCAAAGCCGCTCCAAACTCGCTCCAAAGCCCAAAACCTGCTCCAAAGCCTCCTTCAAAGCCCGCTCCGAAGCTGGCCTGACCCTCTCCAAAGCCTGACTGACCCGCGCGGACTTTCCGCTGAGACCGATGATTTTGACAAAAGACTGAGACAAAGGTCCTGGCAGGCTTATTGACCTGACGTGTTGTGCCCAGAGCTCAAAGGCTGTAAATAAATCAAAACCCACTGGTCCAAAATGATATGCCCAACCCAGAAAAAATGAACTTGTAATGCAAGTTTACTTGTGAATATCTTATCTTTTGAGATCTACTCAACGATCTAATACACTGCGTATGTCTCCTCCATGGCAGTATAGAAAAGATACATTTTGTGCTGATTTGCTCTTCTGTAACGCTTGGCCTATTGTGTCTTGAAGGAATCTGTAGGCCAAGGCTAATATTTTCTACAAAACAAAGGCCATATTCACTATCCCTAAATTAAGGTAAGACCAAGACTACTACAACTACACTAGACTGTGTACAATCTAGTCTAGTTGCAATGGACTGAATAGTGCAGGCGTCATTACCTGTTTGTTTTCCATTTTTGTTTTCAGGTGAATGTTGTGCGGTGCAGACTTATATGTTCTGCAGGTTACCTGTGTAATCATGTGACAAGGCCCACTGGCCTATGCTTTAGGTTAAAATGTTATTTCAAATAATCAAATTATGCTAACTATAGTCTCAGAGCACATGCCTGTGGTGTTGATGTGGACATGATTGCAGCCTGGTTAGGCTGAATCTGTTTACAGACTTGAAGGATGACATGCGAGGACATGAACAATTAGGGCTTCCTCTTTCACCTTCTCTGACACATTGCTACACGTTTGCCCTTTTGGCTCTCATATTCTCATCATGGGGGTTCATAATGTAATAACATCCTCCCTGAGTAATGACAAAACACACTCGGCACAGTAGCCTATATTCTGCCTGAATGTCCCAGTTTGTGGCTGCTATTGTGGTTTATAAATTTTCCTAGGTTTACATTAGTGTAAAATGGATCATTCTACCTAAAGTAGATTTAACTCACATTTTATTTTTAACCCAACAATTCACAAATGTAGGCTTAATTTGCTTCTTTCTATGCAACGTTTCCATTGCTTCTGTGTGGGAGCATGTTACAAGGTCACCTCACATACCACTGATGTAATCATGGACTATTATGTGGGCTGTCTATTAATAACCTATCACACATTTGCACATGCAGTAGGTTCAGTCGGGGAACTGGCTTTTGGTTCACTTTTGTTGTGACTTGGATTCTAAGATAGCCACTTCAGATTGAAAGTATATTTTTTTTCTTATGTCCAGTAGTGAAAAGGTTACGAATTTCTTGTTCTTTACCTTCAGACAGCCCCTTATTAGATGACGTATCGGATTAGCAATCGTGGAAGTTATAAAAGTAAAATGGAACATACAGCCCACACTCCATACAATGAGCAGCGAAGGTCACCAAATTTGGGTTTTCCGCTAATAGGGAGAAGACTCAAATGAAAATGCATGGGTCTCACTTGAAAAGGGAAAGGATGGGGTCTATAAATGACTGGACATGCTCCACTCCTCCTAATTGTTCATAAGCAGAGAAGAGGAAGGAAAAATTATGACTCAGTCTCCAAACCACAAACCACGGTTCTCACAATAACACCTAATGCGATCTGCTGAGTCTTATTTCATGACATATGGCACTTAAAGATTCAGTCATTGAATTTGGACAGAATATGTGAAAGGTTTTAAGTGCATGAAAGTATTATTAGTTGGTTTGGTCCCTGTGGGAAATAATGATCGTAGTTTAAATCAGTCAAGTGGCAGTTTGTGGAAAAGATGTAATGATGAGTTCTAAAACAGAATATAACATCTTTGTCATTAACACAGGAAGTTTGATGATGTATAAAATATGATTTACGAACAAGAAAGGGATTTTTCAGATTTTTTGTTTGTCTAATTTTAACTATTGTGTTTTGTCCCGTGTGCTAGCTAACATAACTTGATTTACCTCTATTTATGTCATATTTGCTGCCTGTCCAACCAGGAAGTAATATAATAAACTAAACCAGAATTTAAAAAACTAAAGTTAACTAAAATCTTAACTATATTTATGTTAACTATGGTTTGGTGAAAAAAAACAACAACTCTAATTACTTTAAGCAGTCTAAGTCAAATACCTTTTAAAAAGATAAGCAGAAATATCCAAATGGAAAGTGGAAAAGTTGTGATGGAAATAATTTCAGTGCAAGTTGTTACATTGCTCCTTCATTATACGAAGGTGCAGTCATGTGTGTCATTTCATTTACTAGGACTTTAAATTTTTGTCAAGTGCTAAGGTTAGAGTTTCAATTCTCTAACATGATAACAGGATAAAAAATCACTAGTATAGGATCATTTGTGCACAGGAACCTAATAATTAACTATTGTTTTCATCATTCTTGTTTTTTAAACTGGAAAGCACTTTGTAAATATTTGCTGTTTTTTTTAAATTGTCACAAACATTTTGAACCTGCCCCAGCAGCATGTGGGGTGTGTGGAATTCCCCTTAATTCCCCCTGTGTTTTCTATTGAGTGCATACGAAATTTTATGCTGTGAGATAATAAGTCACGTATTGTTAACAGGCTATATATATCATCTGATGCTTTATTTATTTTATTTTTTTTACATTTGTTTTGTTTCACTTTGATAGTCAGTACAGAAATATAATGGCACACATTGGCCACAAGAGGGCAGCGGTTGAAAGGGAAACAGGCATGTAAACCATGTGAAGAAATATTAAAATATTGATTGATTTATTTACATTGCATTTGACAATTAATGCTACTTTACAGTTACATGCTATTTGTTCTTGGTCTATTATGAACGAGACTTTGCAATAATAAAACTAGCCTAGCAGTAGACTAAAAAAAATCTTAAAAGATACATTTGGGACATTTACTTGTTGTTAAACTAGTACATGTATAGTTAAAATGGTCTCATTACTTATTTATTTTTTATTTTATATAGACAAATTAAACATGTAAGGCATTGCAACATTTCTACCAGAAGCTAGTGTGCATGTCTGTCGCTAGAACGGCATTTGCAAAGTTCACATTATGAATATTATGCAAAGTTCACATAATAAACATTATACAAAGGCAAAACATCACAAATGGTCTTGTAGCCATTGTATGTATAGTGGTAGTAGCCACATCTATGTTTTTGTGTTTGTGTCATTTTGTTTTTTAATAGGAACAGTAATAGTAAAAAAGTATGTACTGTTTTATGCAATAGAGAAGTTTATACACTAATTGTAGCAACAAGAAATTGCTGCTTCTCTTGCCTCGTTAAATGTTACTCTAGTTAAGTACTATTTCTAGAACTGCCTTTCACAAAATGCCCCAAGTCCACGACCAGACAGCCCATCCATAGAGCCATGTCCTGACAGAGCAGCCCTCATTGATAAAGCCCAGCCGCTCTGTGGAGCCCACTGCTGCCGCTCCTCTCTGCTACTGCTGCACTCTCTCCACTGCGTCTCCACAACCCGAGATTCAATCTGCCCCATTCATTAGACTAAGTGGATGAAGCTCTCTAATAGGGGCTCCCTTCCCCTCAATAATTGCCGTTGATTGGCGTAAATTAGACCCTAGTTGCCAGACGAGTGATTCTCGACGACGATAATCCGATTCCCAACTCAAACTAATAGGATTTTAACTCTGGCTTTGGCCTAATGTCCGTCTGCAAAGCCTGGCAGTGGCCCTCTGCCCCATCCAGCGGACATCCCTGGTTCGTATCTGCAGGGCTGGACAGGGGCGCAGGCAGGGGGAGGGTGAAGGGTGGAGGGTCGGGTCAGCTCCAAAAGTGACTCCTAGACGACGCCATGACATTCTTGTATCAATCGGTCATTCATGTGAGGCTGACATCATCAATGGGACATGTGAGCAAGACCACACTCTATACAGGCCAGTGGGGACAGTCAGCACATACATGTAATAGTCACAATAATTAATGGGTATAGACTGTGAAAATGATTATAACATTACAATTCTTTGCATTTATAAAAAATGTTAACTTGTACTTCTTATATTTTATGGGAGACATTGTGGAAATACAATGCAGATGTAATAATTTATACGGTTGTTTTAAGTTTGAATATAAACAATGTGACCAATTATGTTATTAAAAGTGCCAGCAACCTGTTTTTATTACTTGGCATATCCTTTTATCACTATGGCTAATACTGCAGTTGAAAGTAGTAATATGACCAATAATGTGACCAATACCAATTACTGCATGTTTTCCCTTTGTCTACTGTAGTTCCACTTCTTCCACTTTAATAACACTTTTAATGAATCAATTTGATCCATAGCTACAAGCACTTGAGTTATCACCATTAAAAGTCATGTTTTACTGTACTGATCCAAAATATTTCAAATCATGTTCTCTTCTAAATTACTGCAATTATACTAAGCATACAGTATGTAACTACTATTTCCTGCTAATAATACTTCTGCTGTTCTTCTTTTGTGGCTAGGAGTTACAGTGGCTCAAACCCGAAGGTCGGTGGTTTAAATGCAGCTCGGACCAGCACATACTGTCACTGTGTCCTTGGGCCTTGCCTAGTGTGAGTATGGTGTGCATGTCACTGGTTGGTGGTTGGATGGTGTAGATTGGCAGCCTTGCTTCTGTGTACTCTAAGGCAGCTGAGGCTACAGAAGGAGCTTACAACAACAGAGAGCTGAGACAATGAATAATGCATTGTTAAGTGCTTTGAGAATCTCGAAAGACGTTATATAAATCTGTAGCATCAACATTATTACAAAGCCACATCTACAAATTCACTGATAAGTCAGGCCTATGCTCAAAACCTATAGACAAACATTTATAAAGATATTTAGTAAAAGTAATTTATACTCTTGCACAGGGAAAAATATCAAATTGTGATGTTTCTGACGAGCATTGCAATTCGATTTATGATTTATGTTTTAATAATGGGATTGTCTTCAAAGTTCACATTTTAAATACATCCAGAAGAACAGACAAAAACACTAAAACATGAACTGACAAACAAGAATAATACATAATAACAAGAGTCACATTTCAGAACAAGTTTGTACAGATCTAAAC